CTGTAGCATTTTTAGTTCATAATTTGTTTTATTAATTTACTAGACCTACTGGCATTATTAACTGTTATTTACATTACATTAAAAAAATGATATTTAATCATTCCTGCCACAAATTGTTTACAGACTAAAACTAAAGAAGATCTGAGACTCTGAGGGTACATGAGACCCTTAGAGACTCCAATAGTTGCTACTAAGTTGTGTTTTTGAATGTGTTAGAGGAAGTTATTAAAATAACTAAAGATAATATTTGTACACTTCTGTTCTAAGATTTCCACAATACAAGTTTTGAGAAGAGTTCTTGAATGTGGCATTGATGAAAAGCAACACTGGGCAAAATAAATGGCAAGAGAGGAATAGAACAGGAATAGGAATAAAATAGTTTATTTGTCCAGGATGTGAGGGGTCTGCAGCTACTTTCTCAGCCCTCCTCCTGACCCACACAATCTACAGGTCTTCTATGGAAGGCAAGCTGGTTTCAGTTGTTTTTTCTGCAGTGCTAACTATCTGTTGAAGTCTTTACCTGTTCTATTTAGTTGCTGTACAAAGCCAGACAGTTATAGAAGTACAAATATAGATTCCTCCTTCAGCAGTCTGAACTTTCTGAGTTGATAATAGGAAGAAAGTTCTTTGTTGTGCTTTTTTTTAATGATGGTTCTAATATTAGGTGTCTATTTCAAATCCTTGGAGATTATAGAACTCCAAAACTCGAAGGACTCTATTGTTGATACTGTGCTATCAAATATAATAAGAGGTGGTGGAATAGGAGGGTTCATCCTAAAACCCATTATCATCTCTAAAGTTTTAAGCGTGTTTGGCTTCAGATGATTCTGGCTGCGTAGGGCCAGTTGTTCAACCACCTGCCTACATGCCGACTCCTGACCATCTCTAATGAGACCGATGGCAGTTGTGTCATCTGCAAACTTTAGTACTTGAACAGAAGGATCCTTAGAGATGCAGTCATTGGTATAGACGGAAGAGCAATGGAGATAGCACACAGCCCTGAGAAGTGTCTGTGCTAATTGTCCTATTATTAACTATTAAATAATGGTTTTAAGAAGCAAAAAAAAATGGTAAAGGTAGTGAAGTCAGTGAATGAAAGTTAGAGGAAGGAAGCCAGAACAGTAAGGGGAACAAAATAAGGATTACTTTTCTGTATCTTAGAAAAAGGGAAATGCTCCTTACAGAATATTTAACAAACCATATAGTGTATTTGTTACATTACATCATGAAATAAAGTGGCATTGTGATTCTCTGGTTAATCAGTTATTTGATTGTTTTAGTTTTTAAAAAAATTAAAATTAAGTTAAAGGAAAAAGGTCAGGGACATTAGATGAAAAAGATACTGGCAGACCTGAACTTGTTTGTAAAGAATGATAGTAGTGGCTGGACAATGATTTTTTTGATGTAACTGTATCAATAGAAGATATACAATGATAAGCATGAAGAACAATTATCTAAAAAAGAATCAGTGAATGACTCAGTGAGTGTAGGATGGTGACCAGTAGATAAAAAATTATTTTTGGTACCCTGAAACATAAAGAGCCATAAAGGATGAAGCCAGAGAATTCAGAGCATATTAATAACAACACAAGTCTGTGTTTTTTTTTTAAAGAAACAAGTTTTATAGCCATATTCTTTTAGCACCTGTAACATACTGTACTGCCAGTATTATATGGTGTCTATAGTGGGATTCTGGGCATTTGCTTTCCTGTTGAAGTTTTACAAATTAACTTGATATTTTTATTTCAGATATGCCAAGTTAAGAAAATTGTGGAACTCTGGGGATAATTCAGCTCAGAGTCTTTTAAAAGACGGAAGATTGCAATAGTATTACAAAAAATGCCATCTGAGCAAGAACAATTTTTTTGCATTCAGAAGACCAACTTATTACAAGATAATGAGTCAGAGAGACTGTGCATTTCTACATCTGATATTACTATTGAAAAGTCTACGTTTGAACCTACAATTTCAGATATTGTCGCCTATGGCCTAAAAAAGGTGAAAATAGAATTGCCCAGGGTAAACATACCAAATGAAATATTTTTTAAACATGAAATTGACAAATATATGAAATTATTTCAGTGTAAAGAAAAGGCATCTTTCATTCAAATGGGTGTGAATGGGAACAGTGTAAATTTTTCTGAGATTTATATTCCACATAGCAAATCAGGATTACATTATGAGGAAGGCTTGAAAACAGCAAAAATACTGAATTTCAGTTGTACAAAATGCCAAAACAACATCAGATATAGCCCAAATGATCTACAGAAACATTTTCAGTTGCTACACCAGGGAGAATTGCCATCGTACCCCTGTGAAATGTGTAATTTTTCAGCTAATGACTTTCACTCATTCAACCAACATCGCCGAACGCATCGTAGCACCTTAGTAAAATGTGAAATCTGTAATGATGATCACCGCTATACTCTCTTGGACTTAACAAAACATTTCACATCTCAACATTGTGCGAATGGTAATTTTCACTGTGAAAGATGCAGATTTTCAACCCAGGATGTAGGCACCTTTGTTCAACATATACACAGGCATAATGAAATGCAGTTTAATTGCGACAAATGCCATCATGTAAGTTTTTCAGAAGAAGAGTTTCAAAAGCATGCTGTTTCACACACTGGCACGTTTCCTTTCAGTTGTCAGTATTGCAACTACATGGCATCGCGGAAAAACTATCTCTTAAAACACATTATTACCTTACACAAAGACCATCTCTATGCAAAAGATAAAACGAATACAGATGATAACGAAAAAAGGGTCAAGAATTCAACAGGATTAAAACTTATCTTGAAAAGGTACAAAACTGGCGCGTCAAGTAAAGAATTGTGGAGACGCAAAAAGATTGCCGCCGATGGCTGTGGGGCTGAAGAAGAGAACGAATACGTTTTCAAAGTCTTGAAAGAGAGCCTGCCTAAATCTGAAGAGGTGGGTCAGTCTGTGAAAGAACTGCATGACATTCTTTTAAACGAAAAGCTTGTTTATAGTGGAGCAAAACCATCACCAGCAATTCAGTACAACAGAGCGGAAAGTGGACTAGGTTCCACAAGGGGATTGATGAAAAAAGCAGTTCATGGTCCTACCGTGTTGATGGTTAAAAATAATAAAATAGCTGTCCCCGCGAACTACAGCGCTAAATTTTTGGGATTCAAAACGGTGGATGGCAAGCAGCATATAGTAATAAAATTGCTGCCTACAGAAAAACAGAATTTGCCAGGAGGAAATAAGTTTGATGGGATTAAAGATGGTGCAGTTGAGTGCCAGGAAGAGGCAGCTGACAACTGTAATTTACCTTCGGTTGCTAGAGCTCACGAAACCAATAACCAAATGCCTAGGAATAATTCTGTCCACTTATCAACGTCATCTTCATGCCACCAGTTTTCAGGGAAAATAAAACAAGAAGGTAAGAATACGCTATGCTGCAGTGCATCGCAGAACATTGCACCGCCTCTTGTAGTGGTAGGAAAGTGTGCGACCCATTTGCCGGTGAAATCTGAAGCATCTTCAATTCCTTGTGATTTGGTGGTCAGGACTAGAAGTCCAGTTTCGTGGAAAAACTGTATACCTCATGACCCAGATTCCCAGGTTTCGTCCCCTCCTGGTTCACGCATGCTTCATTATGACCCCATGAAAAAACCTTTTCCTCCAGAATTCAGAATAGTGAACGGGGAAGTAAACAACAACAATAAGCACCACAATCTCTATTGTTCACCGCCAGATTTTTCCAATCAGGCACCGTTGCCTTTCCATAATTATTCTAAAACGGACATTTTGGAAAAATCGAAAGAATTCACTCCCAACAAAATTCATCCTCTGCAGAGCAAGTCGACGAACGAATCTATGCCTTGTTTTTCACAATCAGTAACAGAATTAAATTTGGACAAAAAATCACTGCGGCCTCTTTATGGCTTTGTAAATGGCAATGATGCTCAAGTATTCTCAGACAGCCCACCTTCTCACAGTATTGACAAACAGTGTTGGTTAAGAAATCATGAGGGACAATTGTATTTGAATACTAAGGTAAATCAAGTGTTGGAACATGTAGCTGAAAAATCCAAGCAAGAAAATGATTCTAATTGTGTAAGTTCATCACTTATGCCCAAAATAACNCTCAAACACTATACTTTTCCGCTCACACTGAAAAAAAATTAGAGGGAACATTGACTCAGTTCTTGGGCGAATAGACTGAATTTAACCCATGCTTGGACTCTTCCGCAGCGCCCAGAGAACAACAGTTCAGGTAAGCCAACAGTCATTTAAGATAAAATTTTAAATAGTAGGTATCATCCTAAGTAATGTCATCCATTTAGAACCTAAGCATCCATATCCTTAATGGATTACGTTCTATTCATATACTGAATAGGGATATTGTGTTACTGAGTGAATCGCAAGATTCTAATCAAATTTTTCATTTTGGAATTGAGAACTTTGTAATGTAGAGTGTCGGAGAGCCAATTTAGTGTAGTGGTTAAGACATGAGGTTAGAAACTGGGAGACCATGCATTGTAGTCCTGCCTTAGGAACAAAGCCAGTTGGGTGATTTTGGATCAGTCACTTTCTCATAACTCAATGGCAAATCACATCTAAAAAATCTTGTCTAGACAACTGCAGAGATTTGTTAATGCAGTCTCAGAGTATACATTCTAGGATAGTACAATTATAATACTATTTGATTCTTTATGAATAGTTGAATAAAAATGAGAATTTTGCTTTTCTTCCTCTCAACATGGCATCTTGATTCAGGACAACAGAATCTATAGCTAGTTCTTGCCTCTTTCCTAAAAGTTATTAGTATCTTATCTGAAGAGTTATGGCTTTCACAACTGGGAGACAAGAAATTAAAAATATATAATTTCTTTCTTATATAACCTTCCACAATACAATCAATGTACTGATAACTCTCCTCTTGGGATGTTCTGCTGTTCTTAAATATGAATTGCTTTGTGATTATAACAAATAACCTGTGTAAATATAAATTGGCTCAATGGCAGGCAAGATCCTCCACGTGGAACATATTGAACTACTATCAGAGGAATACAAACAACTGAAAAAAGAGGTATCAGGAAAAGAGCTTGTGAAGGGAACATTACATTTCACAGGTTAGTTATTAGAGATCCTTTGATTTCATATGTCTGATGAGTTACCTTGATTTGAAAAATATTTTTATATGTATGTTTGTGTCATGAATGGATTGAGTCATTTCATACTAGACCTAGAAAAAGGGTGGTTGGAAGATATTTTGAAAAGTGTTTATTGTGAACATAAAGAAAATTGAGGTTCAGGCCTTTGAAGACAACTATACCCTTTGTCTGCTACGTATTCCTCAATTATAGCTTAACGTATCACAGTTCAATCTGCTACCTTGTATGTATGTCAGAGGTAAGCTCCTACCAGTTCGGCCTGGTTCAGCCAAATAAGTAGTAACTTGGCGGCCTGGCTTGCTGGAACCGGCAGTGACCCAGGCCTGCCACACCCCTGAACCAGTTCCCTAGTCACTTACCCCACTAAGTCACTCACCTCCCAGGCAGTTTGCCTGCCTAAGTTGCCACGTGGTGTCTGCCCTGCACCCCAACTGAGATGCCTCCTCCTGCCTAGAGGTAAGTCTTGCTAACCTCCCCTTCTCTGGAGCTTGCTGCCCACTCATCCCCACTGGGCTTGCAACCTTCCTTTCCCCCACCCCTTCCAAGATCCCCATGAGCCCATTTTAGCTCCCAGAGGGCTTCAGGGAGGCCTGCCAGGCCCAAAATAGGGCCTGGGGATGCCCCCCACTCATTTTGGCTCCAATGGGGCTTCAGGGAGGCCTGCTAGGCCCAAAATAGGGCCTGGGGGTACCTAGCAAGTCTCCCTACAGCCCCCTGGGAGCAAAAAGGGGCTGCTGGTGAGGGCTTCAAGGGAGAAAGGAAGAAAGAAATCCTCACCATTTGGAGATCCCCAAGTGCATGGAGCAGGTGTCTTCAAACTTGGCAACTTTAAGACTTGTGAATTTCAACTCCCAGAATTCAGCTGGCTGGAGGATTCTGGGAGTTGAAGTCTACAAGTCTTAAAGTTGCCAAATTTGAAGACCTCTGGCATGGAGCTTGAGTTGAGAGGTTATTGAAAGTGTGGCTGGCTATCCTTGCTCAGGCTAAGCTAATCAATCTTGGAACTCTAAGAATGTCAGATGATCAATGGGCAGGTTCTCAGTTTCAAAACGTCTGGCTTTTCTTCCTCCTATCAAAGATCTTCTGGGGTTCTTCACAGGAAGGGAGAAAGGAAGGCAGGAAGGAGGGAGAGAGAAAATAAGAAAGGGAGGGAAGGGAGAAAGAAAGAGGAGGAAGAGAAGGGAGAAAGAGGGAAGGGAAAGTGAATGAGATATGGATGGATGGATGGATGGATGGATAGAGGGAGGGAGGGAGAGAAAAAAGAGAGGAAGGAAAGACCATAAACCTGGCACTAGACACAGCTTCAGAGGATGCTTTGAAACAGCAGAGCAATCCAGGGCTGGGACCTCAGAGGTCATCTAGTACAACCCTCTACTTGGTTATTTTGGTGCCTCTAACACAAAGGAGAAATTCCCAGATATCCCCAAGCATTGCCAACCTTTCCCCCCCCTAGTAAAAAAAACCTTAAGAACAAAAGCTTCATTCTGTATTAAAAAGAATAAAAAGGGGGCTGCTGTGTATTGTTTAATGGACTGCTAAACTGCAAAATGGATGCCTAAATTGGCCACTCCCACCCGGTCACATGACCACCATGCCACTCCCACATGGTCACATGACTGCCAAGCCATGCCCACAAAATAAGCCAAACCCACAGAACTGGTAGTAAAAAAAAATTGAAACCCACCATGGATGTATGCATGTGTAGATCAGGTCTCATACTTTCTAATTTTTAAGTTCTATGTGAAGATATTTTAAAATCTTCTCTTTTCCAGTCTTTAAGTTTTCTTTATTATTTCTAAAGGGGGTCCATTGGATGAAAGATATTCAGGATTCCCATCTTTCAGTGGCATTGCTCGCCTCACATGGTTGGTGGATCTTTTTGGAGATCTCACTGTCACTTCTGCCACAAGAGAACAGCAAGAAAAAAACTACTTCAGAATGACAGTACATTTTCAGACTCCAAACAAAAGGTTGGTTTTCTTAAGCATTAAAAATGTTCATTAATCAAAATAATTTTATTCTTGCTAATAGCGATACATCATTAGAGAAACATTGTTAATTAATGAATTCATTTATACATTCATTCATCTGACTTTATTAGCAGCCAAACTAAGCAGCCAGTGTCTTTCAAATAGACTGAAATTAAGGCCAGATCATTTTGCCACTAGTCAGTAAATAATTTTGCTTTTGGAATAAAATTGATCCTTCATTATGGAAACTATTATTGTAGGTTTTCCCCCACTATTTTTGATTCTTGATGTTTTCCATGGAAGCATATGATCTGTTTTCTAAATTTTCCACTTTTTTTCTACTTGATTTATTCCATGCTCTTCCATTTCTGCTTCAGGACATTTAGTCCTTGACTTAATATTAGTTCTTGAGTTAATACTATGAATATTGACAGTTAAGCAATATAAGCAGGACATAATTTAAATATGTTGCCTAATATTCTACCATAGTTTCACTGACTTAGGTTTAGGTTAGGTTTAGATTTATTGGATTAATATGCCGCCCTTCTCCCAAGGACTTAATTATAAAATGTTCATGGACAAGGACCAAACTGCCACTTCTGTAGTCAGTTTAACTGAACCTGAGGAGCAGAATCTGTAGCTGAATTCCTGAAAGGGTACTTTTAAAGTCAAGCATTATTGATCTGCAAAAAGAAAAAATAAGAATAGAAAATAAAAATAAGAATAAAGAAAAAAACAAATGTATTAAGAAATTATTTCTCCCTTTATCACAAGTATAAATAATTTTAGTGACATATCACCTTCTCTTAAATAAAACAAATGATTATTTCTTTCCATATCCGGTCTTTTTTCTATAAACAAATCCTTAAATCCATTCCACCTGAATGCTTAAAGATGCTTAAAAAAACAAATAGGTTGTCTTATAATTAATTATAAAATCTTATTTCAAATCTATCTGGACCCTTAGTTGAGCCTTGCAGTGATATGGGTGGCAAGTAAATTTAACAATTAATAGTTCATTTGTAACTTTTCAAAATTTTAATCACCCCTTCACTGTTTGTTTCAAAAACAATTATATTTAAATCCTTACACTTATATTTAAAACTTCTTTCACTAAAGATTCAAGAAAACTGACCCATATTTTCAAATGTGTTAATCAAATGTTTCCTACTAGCTGAAAAGTACTTAACCAATTTTTGAAAGGATTAGAAAAAGAAGTATGGAAATTGAATGTCCTTTTGAAGGCCTAGACCAGTGATGGTGAACCTTTTTTGGTTCACGTGCCAAATGAGGGGGGAAGTGCAGGGAGGTCGTGCGCAGGCGTGCCACACCCATAATGTAATGCGCGACCCCAGTGCACGTGTGCATGACCAGCGCTCCCCTCCATTTTTTGCATGCTTTTTTCATCCTCCCTAGGCTCCAGGGGCTTTATAGGAGCCTGGGGAGGGAGAAAACAGCCTCCCCTGTCAAACCGGAAGTTCAGGAATGGATTTCTGGTTTGCTCATAGGGCTGGTTTTAGCCCTCTGGAGCCCTCAGGGGCCTTCCGGAGGCTTCCCTGAAGGCTCTGGAGGGCAAAAAATGACCCTACAAGCAAACAAAAAGTCACTTCCGGTTTGTTTGTAGTGCTTTGTCTGTAGTGCCGTTTTTAGTCTTCTGGAGCCTTCAGGGACCTTCAGGAGGCTGAAACTTTTGGTTTGCCCATAGGGCCGATTTTTTTGCACTCCGGAAGCTTCAGGGACGCTCCTGAAGCCTCCTGAGGGCCTCGGGGGGGGGGGGAGGCTGTTTTCTCCCTCCCCAGGCTTTAATGAAAATTAATGAGAAAGTATGGCAGGATAAAGGAAGAGAAAGCGTAGGGTAGAAGGGGGAAGAAAAAAAAAGAATTGATTTCTGACTCTTTTTAACACAGTCGAATAAGGTAGTAACATACAACCTAGTACAATAGTAACATGAACTAGCCATTTCTGTAACAACAAACCAAATTGTCAAAACCCAAAATTAAAGTTTCATTTTTCATTTCATTTTACCCCCACATCAAGCACAAAGTCCAGAAGCAATATTCTTTGAGATCTATGCAAACAGCTTCTGAATGTCATACTACTCTCTTAGCTTTCAGCTGACATATAGGGCTCTAGATCTATTCTGTTCCTTGGCAGTTTCCTATTGGCGTTATTCCAATGACATAATCCATTTGCAGTTGCTGAATATATGGCAACTCTTACTTATGGCTATATAACTATGACAGAAGCTTAGATTTCAACATCTAACATGAGTGTCTGATAAACATAAAAGTATTGTTAATATATTCTCTGACCAAATACATGAAAATCCTTTTGGTGAGGGCACTGCAAAATGCACAAAAATGGAAAGACTAAAATATCACCATAGAGAATGGCTGATGAGAATCACAGAATTAGCAGAGATGACAAAATTGGCTTGTTTAATTAGAGAAAAGACAATAACCTATATTTATAACTGACTGTTAAAAAAAATAAAGTGACACTTCATCCTTTCCTTCCTGTTTCCATTTTTCTTCAGTTATTATTTTTCTTTCCTTTCCTTATTTTTTCTCTTTCAAAGTTTGTATGGTTTTTATTCTTTTAAAATATTTATTTAATAAAATAATACATATAATAAAGTCTTTGGAGAAGGGTAAACTTTACAATGTGTTCTAAAGGAGGCATCACATGTAAATTTATATTCCCACAAACATAAAGAATCTGAAGTGGCCCACAAAATATCCATGAAATGTCATCATAGGGTATTTTGCTATACTTTGTCATAAACCTGCTGTGATGAGATGCCCCTTTTTCAAAATATATGTTATCATTGTGCATTCTTTTCTCTATTTCCTAATAAAATATTCACAAGTTATAGTCTTTCAAACCAGTTCACAAAAATAGATTGTAATCCCAACATCGCTTGATTCCAATATATAAAAATATAGGAATGTGACTGTTTTGTTGTATTTTTCAAGATGCACTGTGTCATTTCTCTTTATCTGCTTTCTTGTCCCTGGGTTCCAACTACTCAAATTCACTAATCACTGTGACATTATTTTATTATTTTGATTTTAGTTTGAACAACAATGGTCATTGCATGATTCCCACTGACATAATGTACCAATCTGGTAATAATCAGTAATTCATAGAACATGTTCAGTATACATTACTTGGCAAATGCATTATGCAGTATACGCCTACCCATTCAAGGCTATAATATCTGAATCTTTTTTGTCCCCTGCTATTGTCAAAATGTTAGTTGGTGCAAGGAGAGTCTATTTTTTATTGAAAGTGCATGCAAACAAAGCACACAACTAAACATAAACCAAGGAACCATAGCAATTCTATATATTCAAACCAGTGGTGGGTTACGACTGGTACGCCCTGGTATGGGTGTACCGGTGCCTGCCAGGAGCACTGGGTACTGGTATGGTGCTCCAGAGGGCCCATCCGCCCACCCACCGTCCTTATCTGTATTTGAGCTCTTCGGGGCTTCCACGCAAGTGCACAGAGTGTACGGCATGGTGCTCCACCGAGCAGCTGGAGCATCGCGGAAGTGTCACGGAACATCACAGACAGTAAGTATGCATGTGCACACTGCACACCTTCATGTGGTGGACGTCGAGCCCCGTTGCACATACCGGTGGCACCAGGTTCCGGAACCCACCACTGATTCAAACAGTACAAATGATAAACCAAGCAATGAATCTTTAGTGTTGGTGGCAATTATTTACATAAAGTTCACAAGATTGGACTAATTAATGTTCACAATTTTTCCATCTTTGGGACATCTTTTAAACAATTATTTGGAAAGTTTTATTTCTTCCTTTAAAAAAAAGTCCTTCTGCTTTAACAAAGGCCCCTGACTTGGATTGAAGAAAGGGCTCCAGGGATGAAACGAGAGAAGAAGATTAACTTCTGTTTTAAAAGTGGGTGCTTGGAATGCCTCCCTGTGGCTCCACGTTCACCAGTTGGTCTTTTCATGCAAGACTTGATTATCTTTGCCAAAAAACTTTTGGGACAGATCCCCAAAGAGGAGCTGATAGCTGAGAAAAGGCGGATTCTGCTGTGTCTCAGTCTTGCTGAGGAGATTCAAATGCACTGCGAACAGCCATCAAAATTCTACTCTTGAAAGTGTGTGAAACTACAGGAATCACCATTTTAAACTGTTTCTTGCACTCCCTTTTTAAAATGTTCTTCTTCTAATGTGCCAGCTTCTCTATTCTATTAAGCAATATTTTTCTAACAAAGCCATGTTGATCTGGCAACATGGGGTATATAGGTACTGTCTTGACTTACTGCAAAGCAACTTTCTAATCAAAAATTAGTATGCCTGCATGTCTTTTAGAAGTGCAATAGCAAGAGTGTCATTTATTCACAATATTTATTATTGAGGAGAAAAAAATATTTCTTAGCAACAAAATATTTCTCTGAAACACTTTAAATTCTATATCTAAGCCTTGTGTATATTACTTAAATGTTTACAAAGATATTAATTAGTGTGCTGTTAATAAACAGCTTTAAGTTTATTTTTGGCCTCTGTTCAGTCTAAGTTGCTTTTTAACTGCAGTTGTACAAAACATTGAAAATAGTGCCCTTTCTTATATTCATCTCTAATGTGTAGCCCAAGACTACAACTTAGCTTTTCAAGATAGAAAACTGTACTGAAAGGATAGTGAATGAAGGAAAATTTCTGGTTGTGAAGGTGGTTTTTGTTGTTGTTGTTTTTGATTTGGCAACTATATATCACGATGACCTGGTTTAAACATAATGTTGTGTAAATTATGAATTAGTCAATAAATGTTATTTGAAAAATTGGTTTTAGTATAATACATGACCAACCCATTGAGCTTTACCTTGAGAATTCAAAAATCTTCCATATTTTTATCTGTTAACAAGTACATCTAAAAGTGGTAATTGCTTATCTGTTTCTTCCTCCATTCTTCGTCTGACATATAGTTTACAATGGAGGAAGAAACAGCTAGGCCTAGAAACCATAGCTTATCGCAAGGCCAACAACATTCCATGCATTCTGAATTTCAATAGCAATCATCTACTGTTACACAAAAAAGAGTTGCATCAGAACACTATTCGGCAGGGTGGGAACCTACTGTAGTATCCAGCAAGCCAAAAAGCTGGAAAGTAGGTACGTACGTGAACAATTCAAGTAGAATAGGTACCCAAAATCATTTGTCACAAGATGTCTGTGCAACAATGAGGAGAGGAAGGAAGAAACAAGGTACAATACTAATGACATGACACACTCTGTCATACATCAAAAACATTTTGGAAGCATAGAATGCAAATTCTGAGATCTGCAAGTGGGCATAGTGCACCACCCAAAGCAGAGGTGGAATTCAACAGGTTCTGACCAGTTCTGAAGAACCAGTAGCGGAAATTTTGAATAGTTTGGAGAACCGGTAAATACCACCTTTAACTGGCCCTGCCCCATCTATTCTCTGCCTCCCTAGTCCCAGATTGGGAGGGAATGGGGATTTTGCAGTAACCTTCCCCTGGAGTGGGGAGGGAATGGAGATTTTACAGCATCCTTCCCCTGCCATGCCCACCAAGCAACCCCACCAAGCCACAGCCACAGAACCGGTAATAAAAAATTTTGAGTTCCACCACTGGCCCAGAGGCTATCATACAAGGACAAATTAGGCATTATAAAAATTGCTTGGAGGTGGGAGATACTTCAAATTTAATCTACAGAATCCCCTGCATGAATTGCCGCTGTAACTATGTAGTACAGACACAAACAAGTAGTCAAGACAAGGAGATTCAAACTCATTGGTAGCCTCGCACTACACACACATTCAATTTTGAAACTACTAAGATTATTGGATGAGCAGGCACAAAAACAGCTAGGGAAGTGATTGAAGCCTGGGATACAGGCTCCACGTCAGTCAACAGGAGCGCTGATTTGCCACCTGCCTATCAAGTACTTAGAAGGTGACGTCTGGGCAGCACAAGCAAGCGACAACTAATAAGTTAAAAGCCAGCCATCAACACACCCCAATCAACATCTAAAATAGGCACTAGAAATACAACACACAGAACAGCACACACTCTGCTAGTGAGAAGTTCCCTGAAGATAGGCTCCAGCAGGAGTCCGAAAGCTTGGAAGGCAAAACTTGTGTTCTGGTGACCGACCCAGATTGGATCCTGCTGTACTAATTTATCTTACTCTTTTACCTTCACTCTCTCTTACCTATTATATTTTATTCTCTGTTATCTCACACTAACTATTTTATCTCATTTCATTATCTTATATCATTTTATGGTATTTTATTATGGCTGATGCTCACATAATTAATAAATAAAGTATATCAAATCCTATATTCTGAAGTTCACCAAGCTTCAAAATTGCCAATTACTGTCTTTTGGTAATTAATACTTGACAATAAATAAATACAGTAGAACCTCTGGTCACAAATGCTTCTGACCACGACCAAATCAGGTTCCAAAAAAAATTCACATTTTTTTTTCTTTTTGCAGCTGATTTTCCTTTCCATGCCATTTTTTTGGGTAAGTGGCAAATTTTCAAAATTAGATTCGGGTCACGACCAAATTGGGTTGCGACCAAAGTTATGGAATAAATTATGGTCGTGATCAGAGGTTCTAATGATATCGCTTTTGATTTGAAAATCCAAATACAATTAATTGATAATTGCATTTTCTCTAAAGATTTTCCCAGAATTGAAAAACTCCATAGAAATTTACTGAACAAATTTATGTTTTGCAAATATTTCTGTTACATACACTGGAATTTTTTAGAATGTAAATTAATATTAGAATTACCTTTCCCCACAAAATAATTTCTCTTTTCTAACTCTCTGGATTACTTTCTAGGTAAAGCCTGTATTTTGAGGGAAGTAATTAAGGAAAAGATTTTTATAAATTTATCCTAAACACTTCCCAAAGCCTAGCAAGAACCAGAAGAGGTTTCCAAGTCTCACAATTTCATCTGATCAGAGCAGAGGCCCAGCCGACAAGCATGGCTTCCCCAGCCAATCATGGAGACTTGTTTGAAAGCCTCTTCAACATAGGTGCTAGGCCCTGATGTAGCTGAACTCTTTTTGGTTTTTCAAAGCTTTTTGCTATTTATCTATTACCTCTATGGCCTTCCACATAATTACCTTATGCTTGCTTAATAAACCTGCATGTTTGTTTAAAACAGCAGGATCAGGACTAGCAGGTGGTATAATCATTAACCAAGGCTGTCAGCACTAATTTTCGGTGCCCCTCCTTCCCATACCTGGAGCACGCTGTGGATCTTGGTTTGGCTGCTGGCCTGCCTCTAGTAGCTCTTGGAGCCTCTTTCATGGCAAAGTGGGAAGGCTTGTTCCAGCTGTGGCTCCCATGGTGCCGGACTCTTGACTGCCAACACATACCAGTGTTGAAGGTCTTGGGGGATCGTTAAGCCCATCTTTGTAGCACTCCATCAAGGCTTCTGGGGACCAGTCATGCATATGGCAGGTCAACTTGCAAAACTCCTGGGTGTATTCTGCTACTGACCTCTACCCCAGATTTCATCCTGGTTCTAGCCTTACATTTAGTTAGGGGGTCCTCGAACGACATATGGAGCATCATAAACTGGTCGTAAGCTTTCAGCTGGGTGGCATCATCATTTTGAAGGGTGACCATCCATTCTACTGTAGTTCCTTCCAGGGCCATGTGACACATCTTACTTTGCCTGCTTATGAAGCAAAATCCTCCCCATACTCCTGCATGTGAATTATGGCTCCAGTTCTTCCCATCTGAAAAGGATTCTGATGAGTCTGAGTCTGAAACTGATTTCCCTCACTTTTGAGGTAGATGACAACTCATTTTGTCAAGAGTGTATAAAAACACCCATACAGGAGCTAAAATCACTAAAACTCTGGTTTACCATTCAGATTACACCTGTCAGGGAATAAAATTCACTGCACACATGACCAGATACAATACGCCATCTGCTCCAAAGATAGCCAACTGGCGTGTCACACTCTACAGGAAGCAAGGTTCACCACTAAAGGATGGATGTATGCATTTGTGGGGGGAAATATACCTAACAGTTGCCTTATAACCACACTATGCTTGGGAAAAGCTCAGGAATGACTGTTAAGTTTGATGCTTGTAACCCTTAATTTGCTGACTAAAACTAATACTCAAATGAGAACTACCAAAATAGATTGTCTCCAGATTCCCTTCTAGCTAAAGAAGGAAGATTCAGTGGAAACTTTAATCTAACCAATTGCTGTATCCAGATAGATAACGGAAAAGCAATTGAAGAAATCACAGACTGTACAAGAAATCTCGCCCATGTTCCTGTTCAAACCTGGGATGGATTCTTAGATACCTCTAGATGGTCTGAAGGAATGTTTGGAGATTGGAAGAGAATTTTGTTCCTCATAGGTCTAGCCTTTGGAGGATTGATGATATTACCTTGTTTGATACCTGTAATAAGATCAGTTGTTACTAGCACAATTTCTGGAATAACAGTTGTGAGTTTGGGACGACAGGACAAGCCTGCCAAGATTCTTATTTTGACACCAGCACCAAAGCAATATTCACCATTGTTCCAGGAATAGGAAGCATCCTATTGCCTTAAAAATGGGGAAATGAAAGGATTAGAGCATTTACAGTGTTCCCAACTCAATTTTTGATTCCCTTCAAAGTAAGCTGCATAGTGCATTACCTGAAAAGATAAATCCTCCAGGCTAATTACCAAATAGCCTTGCTTATAACTTAAAATGTGTAGTCTCAACAACCTAATGTGAGATAGTACTCCCCTAACAAAGCTCTGGCTATATGCCAGAAAATGTATTCCTTTCCCCTTTCTGAGGTCCATTGTTTTCAGAGCACTGAGAAAAGCATGAGGTTTGCATGAACCATGGAGATGAAATAATGTTTCTATACCAATGACTATGCAAGAAATATGTGTAGACTATAAAAATATAAAAAGTGTTCGTTAGTGCCCATGCCTGCTTTTCTCTTTGCCTTGCTGTTTAAGGTGGGAGATTAAAGGTCACAGGCAAACTGGTAGTGGCGGCGGCAAGAGGTTTTGCCCACCTGCACAGATGTTTCTGCGCATGCGCAGAAGCGTCGCACGAGCAAACTGATAGTAAAATAAATTGAAAACCACCACTATAGAGCAGGGTGTCAAACTTGATTTCTTTGAGGGTTGCATCAGGGTTGTGTTTGACCTTGGGGCCAGAGTGGGCATGGCCAGGATGGCCATGGCCAGCTGAATGTGACTCATGTCAGTGTACCTGTGGTGGCCCAAGTGCTCTGCCAGTGAAAACAGGCTCCCAAGCTCTGTTTTTGGCTGTGAAGTCCTCCTGCAATCCTTTGCCAGTGAAAAGAGAGCTCAGGAGGGTTGTGAGCTGGTCCTTTGCTGTTTCCAGTGGCCCTTCTGGCCAGATCTAAGCACCCCGCAGACCAGATCTATCCCTTGGGCCTTGAGTTTGACACCTAGAGATTCCAGTATCATGCCTGCAGCCATGTTTCTTTTGGATCTTTGGCTTGCCACATTTCTATTCTACTATGTTGTTTCTATAGTAGGAAATTGGGATCATCTGCTGCCTGTGCAAACTAGTTTAGGAAATCCAATTATTATCAATTAAACTTACATTTAGCAAGATAATATAAATAGGAATAACATATCAGCTGATGAAAACAATAATGATTATCTATCAAAACATGATTAAATAATCTGATCTTCAAATACCAGGACGGAAGGGGCAAGGCATCACTCCTAAAGTAGGATATTCCAAAGCATGGATGCTATTATAGTCTTTGAGACCCAAACAACACTTTTAATTGGACTTGGAAATCTAGCAGTATTCAACAAAGCAACTGAAAATATATTATAGCGGCAGTGACCAACATGAGCTAGCTTCTAGGCTGCTACATGTTATCTTATTGCAGTTTCTTGGCCAATTTCAATGCATATACTGAATTTTTGGAGGAGGAGTGGAGGTGCCTTCAAGTTAGCACTGATTCCTGATAACTGCATCTATAAGTCCGTGCAGTATTCTTGGCATGATTTCAGAAGTGGCTTACCATTGCCTGCCTCCTAGAACTGAGAGTAAGTAATTGGTCCAAAATAATCCAGTTGATTTTGTGTTTAAGAAAGAACTAATACTGACCGTCTCCTGGTTTCTAGCTGGATGCCTTAACCAGTACGCCAAATTGGCTCTTCATAGAGTATGCGGCAGGAATGGCTATGAGGATGGGGGTTAATATTTGCCAGACTTTATCCAGTTGGGGCTACAATTGGCAGAATATCCTAGGGGAGGGAGAGGTTCCTGTCTTGACTGCTACTTAACCAAAAATTCAGAGTCCTGGGGATCTCCAAATTCTGAACATGCTCCTTCAAGGAGAGACCAGCACCATCAAGAGTCAGCAACAGAGCCAACATCTTTCTGAGGAATAGCAACTTCATCTTGCTGGGATTAAGTCTGAACACCTTTCTGTCCATTCAGGTCTCCATAGCTTTATAATCCTGGGTTAGGACTTCCATAGCATCTTGACTTGGCATGTAAAGTGGATAATTTCCCGCTCCCCATCACTTTGTAAATCATCGCGCAGAAGAAATGGTAGAGATGAATTAATCTACACCAGTGTTTTTCAACCACTGTGCCGTGGCACACTAGTGTGCCGTGACATACTGTAAGGTGTGCCGTGGGAAAAACACTTTATATATAGTCAATATAGGTACAGAGTTAAAAATTTTTAACATTTTTTAATGGTGGTGTGCCTTGTGATTTTTTTCATGAAAAAAGTGTGCCTTTGCACAAAAAAGGTTGAAAAACACTGATCTACACCATAAGGTGTCCTCCCCACCCGCTCGCTCGCTTCCGACTCATTTACCCGAATTCTCGTTTTAGCGTCGTGGGCGGTAAGTAGCGCGCCTCCTTCCCGAGCCCTGGTTGGTTCCCGCTTTTCCTAACGAGGTAGTGGGAGGCAGCTCGGTGGGCGAGAGAAGCGGCTACTGCTTAGCGAAGTCTGCGAGGCGGTCCTGGGGCGTGGGTTTTCTATTCCACAAATCCTGCCCTACGTTTCATTCTGTTTCCGCCAACTGCGTTGCGACCTCTCTTTGTGCTGCTTCTAGGCGGACAGCCTGGAATAGCCCTCCCGCCCTTCCTGGTCACTGGGGATTTCTCCCGGAGCAGGATCGACGTCCGGAGTCATCAAATACTGGAGACGTGCCGTGATTGGTAGCTTAAATAAGAGGCGTTTTCCAGCGATTGTGGAAATCCGGAGCTCTAATCAGGTTGTTTTCGTCTCTCCTGGAAAGTGAACGGTCCTTTCTATTTCAAAGCCAAGCAAAGGGGCGAGGATTCTTTTGTCTCTTTGATTTTTGCTCCTCCTTTCTCTCCTCACCGGACACTTGGGGTCTTTTGCAATCACCACGCCTCACCCCTACTCGCTCTTGAGCCACCTCTTACTTTTTGCACCCTTTAAAGACGGAATGCTGGAAGGAATGCCGCTCCTACTGACAGCTTCCAAGTACATCTGAGTAAACCAGGCAGAAAGAGGAACCCTCCACTAAGAAAAAAAGGGGAGAAATGAGCCCTTTTCAGCAGGGAATATTACTGTTGCTCTTCTTATTCCTAGAGGTAAGTTGAAAGGGCCAAAAATGACCTCTGTAAATGCAGTTCATCATTTGGAAATGTTCTACACAACACCGTTGTGGTGAAAGTGAGCTCTGAGTTTGCAGCGATTGGAGCAGCCAAGTTGAGGGGAGACACCGAAACATTTCTCAAAACTGTACCCAGGATTTGGAAGAGAAGGGTTCTTTGTGCCAACATTGCTTTCTCTTTTGTTAGAGGGGATGCTTGATAAAGTCTGAAATTACTCAGATAACATACGTTTTGCCATCTCAGACCAGATTTTATATGTATGTTATTTTCCAATTAATAATTCTTTTTCTCCCTGAAAAGCAGCTCTGGGATATTTAATGAAACATAGAAAAGGCTACCTAATGTTTTGAGGCAAATTTTCTCCATTAAATTCCCGTACAGGAAATAATAAGGCTTTGTTAAGATTCCAATTTTCCTTGCCTGATTGATTTGCTGTTTTTCCCAAGTTGCCTGCAATGCACATCTTGGATTTAAACAATGATTTTTAACTATATGGCCTGTCTGTAACTAAATAAAATTTCAGTGTGAAATTATCTCCTCCCCTCCTCCATTAATTTTCTTTCTTATTATACACTTTGGTTTATAAAGAGAGCACCAGGGTGTGGAAGAGGTTTATCACATAAGCTTTTTGAGTCTCTACTGTGTTGATTATGAAATAATCTCTCTCTATTTAAAGTATTTTTTATGGGGAAGGTCACAATCACATTGTTATGTTTTAAACTTCCTAAAGAGGCTGGTCCTAAATAGTCTAAAGGCTTTCCAGCTGTGTGTATGTAATCCATATGTCTGAGGAGCCTGCTGCTAGAAGTGCACATTTGCCAGGGAGGTTTCTTTCCCCCATAGGAATAGCTGTGAGGGTGTGACCATTGTTTATTATGGATGTTGTGAATTCAACTGTTCTCATGCCTGCCCTCTTGTGAGTTGCAACATATGCTCAGGGTTGCTGTACTCATTTTGGTATGTACATTTTTAATTCTATTATACATTTCTCCCAAAAGCTGAATTATATAAGCTAAACTCAGCAGGTTATCATTAGAAAGACTTTGGAGATTTTTATGTGCTGAAATGCTCTATTTGCAATTTCAGAAAAGTAAGGATAGGTGATAATTATGCAAAAAAGTTATGCTCACGTCCATATTTAGATTTCACGAAGCTAAGATAAAAAGCTAAATTCTGAGTTAACCTGACATGCCCTAAGGCTAGATAGAATTGAACAACCCAGACTATTCATATGTCAGGTCAGGTCATGGGGAGCAAATGAAATGCATGATTTGAACCTAGAGACAGTTATGACATTGTTCTTTCCAGAAATTAGTAGAAGAATATACAATAGCCACAGTTTATAATGTAAAACTGGAGAATCTCTTCAGTAAAAGTATGTTATTTTCTGTTAAAACAACAAACATTTAATAATAGGTAAATTTAATTTATGCAATTAATTATATTATTCATACCATAAATTATATGCCAGCATTTTCTGATTGGCATCCAATTCCTGTGATACCATTCTTTCCTAGACTCACCCAAACATGCCAAAAGATCAATTTAATTTTCCTTAAAGGATATATGTGAAGTATGTGCTTCTTGGGTTCCAGCTTTCCTTGGAAAATGTCAGGAATGAAGAATCAGAACCAGAACCAAGTTCCAGTTAAGAAGATTTATTGCTCAAGCCTATACACAAGAATCTAGTCAACTAATGGTCAGCAATATATTGACACTAAATAAGAGTCAACAGAATTCAAGGGTGACTGGACTTAGAGGAACATTTGTGGGCATGCAGAATTGTCTCTTGATTCAAACCAGGTTTTGCCTCTTCATCTCCTACAGATAGCATTTACAGAAATAGCCGCAATATCCTCTTGAGTATTTCATTGCTTTGATTGTTTTCATTTGGATGAAGCATAAACATGTTTTCCAGATTTTAATACTGAGCGAGCCTCAGCTTTCATTTCTAGATTTTAGTGATCTTTCAGCTTTGGTAAATTAAAAGTTACATATAAATGCTGTCACTGCCTTTATAAGTCTGGGAGATTAGGGGTTTTCTTTGGTTGAAATTAGGCTCATGGCCAATTGGGCATACAACAAATACAGTAAGCTTGTGGGATACTGTTTTGATCCTTGTCTCCTCAAGAATTAGAAATATAATGATGGGCTTCAAAAAAAGCATTTTATTATGCTATAAGCCTTGAATTTCATATTTGGTACTTTAATGACTAATGATGATGCAAGATGTTCTTGAGGTATATTAGTATTGCATGATAACTTGACAAGTCAAAAGTAAAGAGTCTAGAATAAATGATAGAAGGAATACCTCAGCTCTTTGTATGGAAGACTATATACAAGCTTTCTCATTTTATTGGCTTTCTTGGCATCCTGATGTTATAGAATTGGCCCACTCTGTGAAGTTTTTTTTAATATGAGTGTACAGATCCTGAAGGTCTCATTCAGTTCAAAATATAGGATCAAGTGCAGATGTTGATGCTTTTCCATCCTCACACTTTTTAAAAAAAATATTGTGCTGCCCTGAGTTAGGATTTCATTTTAATCTGTTCTGTAGAATTTTCTTTCTAAAAACCCAAAGCTGGTTAATTTCTCAGTCTCACTGCTTCCTCTTTGCTATCAGTAACATCTCGTTTTTCTAAATAATATTGCCTACTTTCACCCAAATTTTTTGAATCATTTTACATTAAATGTTTGTGCCCTTCTCCAAGTCATAGAGGAAATTGCATATTAGACCCAATATATTATTTCTAAGGAGTAGTGGGCTTCAAATAACTTAATAACGGGTTCTCTGCCCTAATGACTGGCTGGGTAGGCATGGTTGGGTGGTCATGTGACTGAGTAAGCATGGACAATTTGATGTCACATCGAGAGGCACTTAACCTCACTCGGCCTCTCATGACCATGGGGATTCTGTAATGATCGTAAATGTGAAAAACAGTCATAAATCACTTTTTTCAGTGCCATTGTAACTTTGAATGGTCACTAAATGAATGTTGTAAATCAAGGATTACCTGTGAAAAAATACCAAAAGCTTATTTGGTTGCAAAAAGCTGTCCTAAATTTCAATCATTAGATCAGAAATGGGGGAATACACACTGAAGATCAATGAGTCACAGCTGTCATGGAAGGTTAAACCATTCTGTCTGAATACTTTCCTTTTTCTCAGCAATACCTGCAACCCAGAGTAACAAATCAGACAGGTGTCAGAGCACACTGAGGAATTAAAATAATTAAAATACAGCCAACTCTTGGTCATAAAGTGAAACTTTTTAGCAGAGAGGTCATTTAAGATCTCCAGAAAGTGGGTGGGCATATTTGGCCTACAAAATGCTGAACTAGAGATAAATTAACATTTGAGTGAGGGCTAATCCCATTCTGTCTTTGTTCAGACCTTGCTGTAGGAAATTTTTGCCTATCTCTTTATCTCTTAATTGCTGACACCTGCTGTGGGCTATTAAGGAAGGTGGAGCTGCTTTCTCCCTCTAAGAAAACATGTTTCTCCATTTCTCATTCAGGGAAATATATTCTTCCTTTTTAATATTTCTCAAAATATTTCATTCTTCTAGGAGAGCGGTGGGTGCTAGCTTTCTACAAGTTAACTTTCTACTATGAACTCTTTATTATTCACTGTTGTGATTGCTTAGTTTGTCACTGTTTGGCCCAGAAACTCCCAGGAGAGGGAAATGGTCAATAGAGACCATTAATGTCAATGAGTATGATAATAATGACTCAGCAGTATTAGGCAGCAAAAAGAACAGCAGAGACAGGATGCAAGAGACCTTAGCACAGTGATGGCGAACCTATGACANGCTTGCCTCCAGAAGTTGTGAATGCCCCAACACTGGAAGTCTTTAAGAAGATGTTGGATAGCCATTTGTCTGAAATGGTACAGGGTTTCCTGTCTAGGCTGGGGGTTGAATAGAAGACCTCCAAGGTCCCTTCCAACTCTGCTATTGTATTGAATGACTCATCTCTCTGAATATCAAAAAGATTTCAGAGATAATTTTGTCATCTTTAAAAAAGTGAAATCTCTCGCAACAAAAAATAGTAAACATTTCCATCATCTCATAAACCCAATATTTGAGTCAGATTAAAAAGTTAAAAGTCATTCTTTCCGTGCATTTATTTAATTTAATCTTGAATACTTTTCACAATCTCTGGGTTTTCTAATTGTTTTGAGAAGAAAATAATAAATTTTTTTGTTTCCCAAAAGTGTGCACAAGAATCATTCCAAATAAATTTCAAAAATCCTAGAAAGGAGAATTTTCATTTGCCAAATTAAAATAGGTACCGCTACTTGATAAATTGGGTAACCAACCTTGCTGCCTCCTTCCGGTCAAAAATAATAAGACCTCCCTGAAAATAAGGCCGAGCACTTATTTCAGGAAATAAAGTAATTCTGTCAATATCCTTCTAGAGTAACTGTTTAGTGTGATAATCAGCTGAGAATTAAATGTATTCAAACTTGCAAAGGCAGCTTCCATTTTACAGTCCTACATGTAGCTTGTTTATATTTACATAGTGTGGAAAGAAGAAGAATATCAACAGAATGAGGAAACTAAAAAAAGCCTTACTTTGAACAAGCACATGATATTCCAATTCCAAACAGCTGGAGAAGTTGCCATAAAAATATTGGGTAGAGTAATTCGGGATAGAGAATGTTCTGAATCAATGCAAAGCAACAGTGAATAAGAGAAAAATAATCCATTTGTATTAAATATATACTTTGTTAGTCTTAGGCCCATCAGATATGTTAGATAACATATCTAACATATATCCAGCATTCCTAAAAAAGTCTATTACATAAAATTGGAAGAAATGATGTTCAAAAAATGAAAGAAGTCAACTAAGAGAAGAATTCCTTCTAAAAATTTGAACTTCTCCACCAGTCATACTCCTTTCTACTGGATTGATTATTTCCCTAATGCCTGAAACTAAATTGACCACCTGTGTAGATGATGGAGGTCTGATGTAATTTGACTTTCAGAAATTCTGTAGTTGGTTCAATCAGATTTACTTCAAGATTAATGTTTTGATCAGAAACAAATAACATACTAACAGATACACTTAATTTGGCATAGTAGGAAGATTTCCTTCAAATGAAGGAGAATTTCACTGCAAATGTTTGCATATACTTACAGTTTGTGATAAAACCGGGATGGCGAACCTATGGCACGCATGCCACAGGTGGCACGTGGAGCCATTTGTCAGGGCATGCGCGTGCTGGCCAGCTGAGTTCAGCCTTTTTTAAAGCCATTTTTTACCCTCCCCAGGCTCCAAAGGCTTTATAGGAACTTGGGGAGGGCGAAAAGAGCCTCCCCACCTCCCCAGAGGCCCTCCGGAGGTTTCAGGAGCTTCCCTGAAGCCTCCAGAGTGCTAAAAAACGCCCCTACAGGCAATCCGGAAGTTCTGGAACAGACTTCCGGTTTGCTCGTAGGGGCGGTTTAAGCCCTCCGGAGGCTTCAGGGACCTTCAGGAGGCTTCACTGAAGCCTCTGGAGGACTAAAAACGACCCTACGAGCAAACCGGAAGTCAAGTCACTTCTGGTTTGCTCGTAGGGTTGGTTTAAACCCTCCAGAGACTTCAGGGAAGCCTCCTGAAGGTCCCTGAAGCCTCCAGAGGGCCTCTGGGATAGGCGGGGAGGCTGTTTTTGCCCTCCCCAGGCTCCTATAAAGCCTCTGGAGCCTGGGGAGGGCAAAAAAAGCATGCAAAAATGGGAAGTCGCGCTTCTCATGCGCACATGCACACTGGGGGGGTCGCGCATTGCATTATGGGTGTGGCACACCTACGCACGACCCCCCCCTGTGCTCCCCCCTTATGGCACATGAGCCAAAAAAGGTTCTCCATTGCTGTGATAAAAGGTTATGATTTGTCTAGGATTCCTGGGGGCAAAATAGATATAGGAAAAAAAGATCCTTGCCATCTCTTTGTTTCCCTTTTAATGGCAATAGCTATGAAGAAAGTTTTGGAAGAAATGGTTCAGAGGTAACATTTAATCCTTTCTCAAACCAGTAATTTTTATTATCCTAGGATTTATTTAAAAGGGATGCAGTGGCTCAACGGCTAAGACACTGAGCTTGTCGATTAGAAAGGTTGGCAGTTTGCCAGTTCGAATCCCTAGTGCCACATAACAGAGTGAGTTCCCATTACTTGTCCCAGCTTCTGCCAACAGCAGTTCGAAAATATGTAAAAATGCAAGTACAAAAATAGAAACCACTTTGGTGGGAAGATAACAATGTTCCATGTGCCTTTGGCATTTAGTCATGCCGGCCACATGACCATGGAGACATCTTTGGGCAACGCTGGCTCTTTGACTTTGAAACGGAGATGACCACTGCCCCCTAGAGTCAGGAACAACTAGCACATATGTGCGAGGGAACCTTTACGTTTAGAATTTATTTAAAATTATTTTCATTCAACTCCACATGCAAAACATAAGAATTTCTGGAAATTATATTTCACTCACATCTAGATGGTATCAGGTTGACATCCCCCCCCCCCCCCGCAATAGATTTTTTTTTTTACTTCATTAGAATTTCTGATAAATGATATTGTAATACCTTTTATATTTATAATGATTCATGCTGGCATCTGATGAACAATGCTATATTTTTTCTTTCTTTTCAGTATTCAGAAGCCAAAAAGCAATGCTGGTACTTTGAGGGGGTGTATCCTACATATTATATGTAAGTGATCCTCCTTTTTTCTTTATGTTTGTTTGTCTCTATGAATATGCCTATATGGGATAAAAGTTTCAGGTTTTCCAGTGGAAGAGAGGGAGTGGTCACGTGTGGGTATTCTCAAAGCCTGATTGGTCCAAGACTGAGTAAAACTTCTTAAATGCTCCTTCCTGCCGGTCTAGCCCAGTTTCCTCTCAGTCTCTTGGTCCAAGCACTGCTTGAGTTGTGAGTAGAGAGATAGTGTGTATTTTTTTCCTAAATTTGACCAATTGGCTTGCCGTATTTGGTTCAATTGGACACTTTAAATTTAATTAAATTTATTTAAATTTCCTTTATAGCTGCGGCCCAGGGGTCAGTCTTTTCTGCCTCCGGCGGTGGGGGGACTGTGGGCGTTCTGGCCCTCCCATCCGTGGGCCCGGTGCCTCAGACCTATCCCCAGGATTGCGGGGGTGCTGTGCTCCAGCGCAGCTGTCGCGGGGGCCATGGTTCTTTGGCAGGGCCGGCAGGAAGCTCCGCTAGCACCATGAGGCACCCACGAGGTTTGCGGAGCCGCCGTTTGCATTCAGGCAGCTGCTGCGTGCTGCACTTAAAGAGCCAGCGCAGCCGGAGTTTCGGGGGGGGGGATACAAGCCTTTGTGCCGCAGGGGCCCCTGGATCGCAGAGCGCACAGCACACGGCTCATATAGTCGGGCATGTCTGTTATTGTTGATTTCGGCCCCTATTTGTTGCCCTGCCAGCCGTTGGTGAGCTCCAGTGGCCATTTTGGCTGCCGCCACATGCGCAAGGCCTTCCTCGCTCATGCAACCATTGGGAGGTCCAGGCCGGGGGTGATTGGCCTAACATGACTGCTTACCTTTGGGGTCCCAGGCTCCGGTGGGGCCTACAGAGGCCTCCTCTTCCTCCACACCTTCCAGGACACGTAAGTGGGGAGTATGGAGAAGGGATCGGGTATTCCCCAGGGCCAGGCAGAAGGCCCGTTGGGAGGAGTAGGGGGCTGGAACTGGGAACCAGACCTAGGGAGCCCCTGGCAAGGCTCTTGGAAGCCCAGCGTCCCTCTAGGGCCTCCACGAGGGAGGAGGCCAGGAGGCACAAGGCGCTTGAAAAGACTTTCACCAGGGATGAGAGGCAGGCCAAGTCTGCTAGACCTGCCTCTACTAGCAGGTCCAGGTCACCGANACTGTTAGCGACTTTGTGTGCTAAACTGATTATATGATACTGGACTGTGTTTGATGGATCACCCCTTAATTGAGAACATTGATGACTGACCGTGTATGAATTGGACTTTGCATACCTCTATTTCCACAGAAGTAAAATACTATCTGTTTTACAATTCAGTGTCTCCGTATGCTGGTTTATGCATTTTCTTCCACATCACTCTCACTATGCTTCTCTGTACGCACTCGTTCTCCTAATGGGGAGCTTACCTAACAGTTCTTAACATGACTACGATTAAGACCAGAATTTCTGTTCTTAAGCAAGATGATTGTTAAGTGAGTCATGCCCAATTTTATGATCTTTTTGCCATAGTTATTAAGTGAATCACTGCAGTTGTTAAATGAACCATGCAGTTGCTAAGCGAATCTGGTTTCCCCTATTGATTTTGCTTGTTAAAAGCCAGCTGGGAAGGTTACAAATGATGATCAAATAACCCGTTATTATAAATATATGCCAGTTTCCAAGCATCCAAATTTGGATCATGTGACTGTGGAGATACTGTGATAGTCATAAGTGTAAGAAATGGTTGTAAGTCACTTTTTTCAGTGTTGTAACTTCAAAAGTGAATGAATGAATGGTTTTAAGTTGAAGATTACTTGCATGTTGTTTATCATTTTGGTTCTTTCTTTTTTCAAACATGATTCTTATCTATAGTCTTGACTTTAGGATATCATAATCTATTCTGTCATCCATTCTTTATATCTATGAGATTTTTATTTTGCATTTGTAAACTGTTAATAGAATTGTGATGTACAAGAGGACTTCTGATATCATAATTAGAGTTTTAAAGTAGATATTTCAGAAAATAAGGTATTTCTTCTGAAATAAATAATTCCCTTTCTGAGTCTGAAAGAAGTAAAGGTGTGGGACCAATGGTATGCAGAACCCCCAAATCAGCAAACAAAATACATGTTGAACAATGTTCCCTCTAATTTTTTTTCAGTGTGGGCGGAAAAGTATAGTGTTTGAGTGGCACATTTTCATGCCTGAGCACCTGNGCTGGTTTTCAAAAAACATGTTTTTACAAAAAATCATGTTTTTACCTGTCACAGGTGTGATATCTATGTAATATACATATATAAAAACATTCGCATATTCTAATGCAACGTTGTGTCAAAATTTCAAAGCAATTGGTGAAGAACTTTCAGAGATTAGCGATTTTGAACAAACAACCATTACATTTTTATTTATACAGATTATATTGTGAACCACCCATATTGGTTTACATTTAGATTTAGTTGCTAAATCCAAATAAATAAATGAATCCACCTCAGCTGTGTGTGACTTGCTCAAGGTGTTCTGAGGATTGCACTCCCAAAACTAGACTGTTGCAAATAAACAATAACACTTAATTGAATTTATGGTTGATATAATTATGCCTCATATCTTTAATGATTTATTCTTTCTGTTGCATTAAGAGATATAATCTAGTGGTAATTTTGGAAGGCTTCTAGTATAATTTTAATCCTGAAATTATTTATCCTCTTGCAGACAGTGTCCTGAAGTGGGCAGCTATTATAAATGTATTGAAATAAATAATTGAATGAATACCATAATAATAATAAGAGCAGCCTTTTGGTTTTTTTCCAAATTTGTTGGACTTCAATTCCATTGTTCACAATCTTTGACCATATGGATGAGTTTGATGGGTGTTGAAATCAGAAAGGCATCCATGGAGGAAGGTTCCTCTAGAAAAAAAAATCCTGAGGATTAAAACTACAATACTATCTAATAACACAGAAAACAATCTAATAATACAAAGAAGAAAATCACATCCTGGTGGGAAGAATGACAAGAGATTAATAACCTGCTTTTGTATTAATAATCACAGATTACTGAAATTTATTATAGCCATTAAAGTTTGAAAGTATTACTAACAGACACAAGAATAACATAGAAATGCAGGAGAGAGTCAGTGAAAGTAAAAGCCAACTAATGTTGCTTTGCAGAGGGATTTATAGGATTTGATATCTTTCAGTGTGTTGTATAAGATGAAGCTAAACATGAGCACAGATTTTGACAGAAGCTACTCATCTATTTTTATGTCCCCCAATGGCAAGATAATTTTATATTCTTGCAACAGAGAACAAACCATTTTTCCATTTTTTTATGCCACAATAAGTCAATAATTGTAATTTATCATGTTTCTAGATAAAGTTGAGTGGTGTTCAAAACATTTTGGGGATCATGTTACAAACAACTAAACCATTTCTGACATACAGAACTTTGCCCCATCTCTATTTAATTTATTATCTTCTATACAGTCTGTTGCCCTCCAAATAAATGGTAACTATATCTCTTAGATTCCCAGTTATCAACATAGAAACTGTAGTTTAGTTTAGGCATAAAGATGGGGAAGAAATTCTTACAGTATGTCTTTGCGGAGTTAAAATTATTTTGTTTAATCATAGTTGTGGCTCAAAATCCATTTCAGTCATCAACATTTGTGGCACATACTGTAGCTGGTAATCAGTGTCCTAAAAGATATGGTCTTAGTGATAACAAATGAAAAGTATAATTACAGGCTGGGTTTTGAAAATTAGTCCAACTGAAGTTATCTGACAAGAATTCCTGTTGTGTTCCACTACTGTATTATTAGGACATGTCCATAGTATTTACCATTATAACTAATCTATTCTGCTACTTCTATAAGTCACTTGAAGTCCTTCTCAATTGACAATGGAGAAACTAAAAGAAATAAATAATGTTGGTTAACAATGCCAATTTAGCAAAGGAGCCACCAAAGATTAAAAGTACAGCTGAGGACAAATGATGGAAGTGGATTGGAGACTACTTGGAATCCACTCATGGGGAAATAATAGCAATGATAGTGCTGTTACTAAAAAGATCCAATTGGAGGAATTTCCTCATTATAATTTCCTCTGAGACTTAAAGTTGGAAATCTGCAGAACCTTTGAAAGAGGACTTTGCAAGAAAAGACGAAGTATTCACATATGCAACTAAACAAATGAAAGGCTATCATACTATTCTAATAATCCCCCCCCAAAGAAAACCTTCTTTCCTTTCAGAACAAGCATTCCAAGTGAAAATATATTTCAGAATATAATCTTATTCTATTTTATTTGTTTTTGAAATCAGTGGGAAGTTGAATGTTCTTTAAACAAGCCAATGCAGAGGGTTAACTCTTGCTAGGGGATATTGAAAGTTTTAAGTCAGTATTGAACTGAACTCAAAAACAGACAGATGACTATGACAATTTCAAGTCAAAACCCAATTTTTGAAACTGCAGAAAAAGATTACCATGCATTGTCTTTATATTTGTTTTCTTCCACATATAGGGGGACTTGAAGAATTCTTGATAATTAATAATTGATGATAACATCTGATGCACTAGTTTCAGGGAAATACTTTTAAGGGTAGATGGGGCTCTATGGATGATATGGTCCATGAATACACAAAATGTCCCCCTGTGGTTTAAGCCCATCAAACACACAATGATTTTTCTGTGCGGCTGAGTTTGTGTGTGGGATACATGAAAAGAATCTGCATCAAAATCTCTGCATCAAAATCTCTTTTGCATTCTACAAAAGTGAAGATAAAATAAGACTTTGCTTCTTTCTTTCTGTTAGTGCTTCCTCCTGCTACTGAAGACTTGTAATAGGCAGCAAGAACAACCTTAAAAATCAGGACGAAGACCTGCAACCAAGGCAACAGTCAGATAAAAGAAATCTGAGTTCAAGGCAGAAGTGTAATTTGAGAAAGTGTCTCAGACTTGACCCTCTTCAGTTGTCTTGAAAATAAAGGGACAAAGCGGGAGGCACATTCAGACTTGCAATATTTTCTTACTGTAATCATATAATAAGAAATAGTATTAGCATTCATCTTTGGTTTCCTAGTCTCATCAATCTTGAAGAGCTGACAAGATGTGTGGTAATTGTTTTCGATGATGTACTGAAAAGATCTCGCGTATGAAGTGAAGCACATGAATTGTTCACAATATATATTTTATTACTTATTTATTTATAATATTTAAGTAGCCAGCCATCTCACAATCAAGTAACTCTGAACAGCTTAAGGTAAAGATAAAGGTTCCCCTCACATATATGTGCTAGTTGTTCCCGACTCTAGGGGTTGGTGCTCATCTCCGTTTCAAAGCCCAAGAGCCAGCACTGTCTGAAGACATTTCGGTGGTCATGTGGCCAGCATGACTAAATGCTGAAGGTGCATGGAACGCTGTTACCTTCCCACCAAAGGTGGT